CAAATAGTTTCTCAAATAAACCAGTTACTGCCCTACTGTTTTTAAAATTAAGTTAACAATGTAACCCCCCTCTAGGACTATTCTCAAGTTAATTCAGCCCTATAGAAACACATACCAAAAAAAGTAAACATCAATTATAAGCTTTAAGCTGATAGATAAAATTTGCTGTGATGTTGGCTGCACTTCACATAAGAAACTGACTTTTCACAATAGTCCTCATATTTTAACATCTCAAATATTAAGTTATGTAACAGTAAAATGTAGTGGGATTTTTTCAGTTCATGTCAAAGATGCCAAATATTTATTTGAAATATTGAAATATTTCTAAATATTTGAAAGCTGAAAAATATAGGCTGGTTTTGGTGACTTTTTAACTCCCCTTCCCCCAAAATAGCACATTTTGAGACAAGTTTTCAGTAGGAAGGGAGAGAAGCTTTTGTCTTTGGTTTTAACTTGTGCTTCTGTCCAGCTCAGTTAACTAACTCCCCGTTCCTTGTATGTGTCTCAGCCACCACAGTCCCAGTGGTGAAGGTTCCAGTACAGCCCCAGCCCCCTGTGCTGGTGGGGACCTCTTTGTTTAGAGGCTGGACTAGACCATGTCTGAAAACGGCCAGACAATATGGCCAACTTCCCTCATCATTAAAAAACAGCAAGTAGACATTTTTAATTCACTGCTTTTGGTAGCACTGCTCTTTAATGTGTTTTAGTACTACATCAGAACATTAAAACTGTTACCTTTAAACAGGACATAAAAGTAACTTGTCTTTCAACAGAATAGCAACTTAAAAGCTTCCTACACATTGATGGAAAAGAGATCATTAAAAACTAATTTGCTAGCACCACGCAGACATTTGTATATGTATATAATGCATCAATAAAAAATAAGAACTGTTTGGATATACCAGGATCATTGATTAGCAAGTTCACTGTTACAGCAAATGGACTGACATTATTGCTTGAGGACAAAAGTGAACTTACTGAAATTAATTAATACTTTTAACAGCTTTTTATAGAAATTGTGTTTTAAGACAATGATACATGTTACTTATTGCATGTGGAATTTATTGAATTTGGGCAGACAATCATAGCTGAATTATAAGTCTAACTTTTCAAAAGGAATTGTGGCGCCACTAGTACCCTATACACTTTCATTTTTGTACTAAGAGCATGAACTAAAAACTTTGTTTAATCCCTTACAGATTAGAAAAAGTATTAGTTTTTACATCAAAATATTTTCATAATACACATCTCTGCAATTACTATGCATTGTCAGAAATGACACCACACCAAGAGCCTGAAATCAGTCAAACATTTAAATGTGACAAGAGGCAAAATGTCTGAAACTTTAGAGTAGCCCACCTTGTCAAAGAGTTCAAAACTGACCTTTTTTCCAGAGTCTTCTTGTAAGAAAAAGCTGCCAACAATCACCTTTAGGATAACAAATAATATTTAATCTGGTTTAGGCCTTGTGCAACTGCAAAGTTGATTACCCATTCAAACTCCATACAAATCTTACAAGTTAATTTTCTCTATGCGCTGAATTTAAGGGTTTGATGGGCTTGTATTTCCTTTAAGCTGTTTGTGCCACTTAACTAGGGCAAGATGGAATACATCAAGTTACATTTTATAGTAAGATGTTCCAGAAACTTTTAAATTCTACTTGTTGTTCTTACCAAATTTTGACAGTTATTAATGAAAGTGAATATCTTCATTGCTTAGTTATAATATTTGCAGTGAAAAAAAGAGCAGCTGCAACACAGAAGGTAGGCAATCACACAAATTCCAACAGAGGTAAACAAAACTTCAAACTGCAACCTGTTGGAGTTAACAACCACCCTCGACTTTATTTTTATATATTTGGAGAAGATTCAAAAAACCCACAAGAATAAAACAAAAATTACAAAATACATACAGAGTGGGTGGCATTAACACACCTTAGCGCAACTGATACAAATATAATTCAACATATACAAGGGAATTCCAGGATTCTGAATACATATTCCAAATGGGACTGGATTATTTTGTCCAATAGCGTGTAACAGCTGAAGTCCGGCCCTATTGTTCTGCCTCTCCTTCTAACTCGACACTGGCAATACCAATATGTCAACTAAAACTCATTGTAAACCAACATAGTAGCAAAAAGACAGTATTTTGCTGAACACATAAATGTAACTGAAATATGAGAATGGGTCTTTTTCAAATCATTGTCTAAAGGCATTTACAATTTATCTTACAAGTTTTATGACTTATAGTTTTAGACTGTTACATCCACTCAAAAAGTAGGACAGGTTTTTGAAGTCATCATTTTCTGGAGCAGCACCACACAAAGAGTCAAACCTTTATAAGTCAAAAAATATTAAGAAAGCCAGGAGAAGACCTAATATATAAAGAGGCAAGCAGTAGGGATACCAGCAAGGCACCTGCACACCCTGCACCTTATATATAGGGAGTGAGAAAATTCCTGATACCACAAGAGCAGAACTTCTACACGTAAGGTGCACACCAAGTAGTCTCCCTCTCTCTTTCTGAGGTGAAAGGCACTGCATTTCTTGATTGCTGATAAACAGCCACAATCAAAAAATATTCATATTCTTTATGAACCGTTTGTTGTTCAAAATAAGCAAGGGCAAACAGCAGGAATGGACAATGGGTAACACTGCAAGGATATAGGGAATGTAGAGCTACTAGGGTTTGTGACGGTATTTGGATAATAGCCATTCAGGATGAGACTAGGACAGGAAATGCAACCAAACCCAAATCCTAATGAGCAGGAGATAAGAGTTCTGGTCTTCATTATTATCTCTGTTAGGTCATTGACTGATAGGCCAGGGAAGGAAGCCACTTGGGCATGGCCTTGAAGAGATTCAACTGGAACTTTAGAACAGATAAGAAGTGGTAAACAACATCATTTGTCTCCTGGGAAGGAACAAACTTATTTCACGATGCCTGCAGGGATTTGTGGGTATGTGCAATCACTTTTATGGAATGTTCAGGGGATGTGCCAAAGGTAAGAAAGGTGGATCAGGACAGAACAAGTGTTGGAAAATGGAGAGGAAGTGGCATATAAAAGAGTCATTAGCGTAAGCTGTAAGACCAGGTTTGTTTGGCACAGCCCCACACCTGATCACTGCAATCTGTCTTAAGTTAAGTCCTACTGGCAATATTTCCTTCATGACTTTGTCTTCTATTCTGCATAGGTGTGATGTGCAAGCAAACTTGAGAGTCAGTCAACACCTATAAGGCAACCTGTATCTGTAAAGACTAAGGCCTAAGCCAGTGACCAAATAAGACACCTCAGGCCTAGGCATCAGTGGAGGATGAACTTAAAGTCTGTGTTAACATTCGAGGCAGTGAATGCTGGCATGTCTGTGAATCAGGAGAAGGCTGGTGCATGTGCTTCACCAGCAATTCTCATGAGCTGGAGAAGAACTTTATCAGGCTGTTTGTATCCTTATTCACCTGAGTGCTGTTTGCATTTATATGTGGTGCCAGTAAAGGCAATGTTTTTCCTCTAGGGTTGTCTCCGTGACCAGCCATACCCGACATATAGTGCCATCTTGGGAGTGTGTGCTCAGTCTCGCTACTGGCTGGGCACGCAGACAGGAACAGTGGCAAGCAAACTAAGAGAAGAAATTCCCTGTGTCTCAGAGGCCACTAAACATAGGTTCCCTTCACAAATATATCATGATTATCCACTGGAATTAATAAGCATGGGTCTAATCCTCATAAAACAACAGTCTTGTACTATACTGCAGTTATTCCAGAGCCTAGGGAATGCACAGCTATCTTCAAGCCTTCTTTCTCCTTCAGTTCTGTGTGACATTCACAGCCTTCGCACTAACTCATCTTTTCCAGCCACTCAGGATTTCACACAACATTTTGAAAGATCAAAATGCAAGAGCAACTTAACTTACAAAATTATGCATGGATGAAGGAAAATGTTTCCAGTTCACCTTTACAGCAAAACATCTGATAATTACAGCCAAGCAGCAAAATACGCAAATATAACAGTTCTGCAAATTTTATAAATGCTGCTTTGAAAAGCTATTAGATTTTATAAGCTTGCATTTTTCTCCCTAATAAAACTTCCATAACATGACAGCCAAGACCAAAATAAGACCTCATATGAACCCAAGACCAGAGGAACACATTGGGTGTTTTAAACCCGTAAGCAATTTTTTCTGTAAATTTGTTTCTCCTTTTTTAATCATGCTGAAAGTCTCAAGGGCAGTAGAAGGGCCAAATGTACTTTTGACCATTACAAAATTTAACCTATCTGGTATTCAGTACTGATTTTATACTTCTACCTTATTGTTAAACTTCCTCAGTGTAAACTTTCAGTGGCAAAAAAACTTTCATTACAATTTTTAGAAAAATCCCATTTTTCCATACTTTCAGCAGTGGACATAAAAGCATGTGTGATACAAACAACTAAACCACCACTGACCTGTATGTATTACAAATCAGATCTTCTAGACCTGACAATTATGTAAAATTGTCTGTCTCACAGGTAAACAAACTCTAGCTGCACCTTTCAGAACAGCCACACCATGAAGATTCCCACCTCATCAGGAACTTCATGACTGCAGTGACAACAGTGTGTTTTCCAAATCATTAAAGATAACCCATTCATACAAGTTTTTACAGTTTTCCTACACACTGACTTGAGCAACTAAAACACCTCATGACAATTCATCAGTAAGTACAAAAAAAGCACAAGAAAATCCACACCTTTCACACACTACCACTACTGGAATTTTGTCCATCTATCATAACTTATTTCATCATGAACAATAAAATTCCAAAGGTATCTATGCTATGGGTGTCACCAAGGATTATTGTTACCTCCCATAAAAAAAGTTAAATGTTATTTTACACTAATAAACTTAGATAACAGCATACTTTTCAACAGATCTTGGAACATCACATGCCCTGATCTTGTACAATAAGTTAAAGATAACAAGAGCAGGAACAAAAGAAACCTCAAATCACATACTTACTTATTCAAAGTGAGGTCAAGGATGAATTTGGAGCCAAAGGCCTCGATCTGGAAACTTGCCTGGGCCAGATGTACAGCCTGTAAACAGGAACACACAGCTGTCAAAAGATTTGCTGAGCTTTATATGCAACAAATGTGACTGTGAAAAACAAAGTTATGAAAAACAGGTTTATTTTAATGAATCTCATAGGCATGTGAAAACCTTTGGCCTTGTACCAGATTCTGACTCAAAAGGATTTGCCTTTTTAGAGGGTAGAAGCAAATGGTACCTGCAAAGCGTGATTTCAAATACACACTCATTCGTCACAACAAGAAGAAAAAAGATAAAAAAAAGAAAAAGTTTCACACAAACGTCTATGTTTTGCCATAACCAGATGGTTATGTAATAAAAGCATAAGTAATGTAGTATACTGTTCTTTTAATTGAGTTATTGCATTCGTTCCCTTTAAAAGGCCTGAAATAATGAAAGCATTTGTAATATACACCTTCAAATACTAAAATCATGGCAAGGTTTGTATTACACATTATGAAAAACTCCTTCAAAGTTATCCCTTCACAATTAATGGCTTTGTGCTTTGCATTGTAGCTAAACTAGTATCCAGAATATCGATGTTGCTCAACATACAACAACAAAAACAACAACATTAGCTTTTCTCACATAGGGAATTAGGTTTAACTTTCAGGATATTCAATTCTTGTCAGACGCATAAACTGTATTCTTTATTCTTCTCTATACTGTTGTAACTGTAGACAAAGACATTTATAATGTGCTTATCTGTTTTCTAGAAAAATAAGGAGAAGATAAGACATGCTCCAAGAATTTCCTTTTGTGAAGACACTGTTCCAGCAGGGTTGAAGAGATTAGATCTGAATTTCATAGAATCTCTTTCCTGATAATGTTCTAATCAAATCACGCTTACTTATACACTAATTTGATACAGCATTAATAATTACACAAAGTTGGAATATTATGACTAAGCCCTTTAATCAAAAGACAAAAAAATACTGTTTTTATTTATCTTCAGGTATGTCACAGAAACGATATCAAGTTCTAGATACTTTATTGCATAACTTAAATTGTAAGCAATAAGGTTTACAATTTTGTTCTCCTTTGGAAATTTTTCCACAAAGGATAAGCTCTTCATGTTGCTCTTCCATTCTTGCACTACACAGAGCAGCACTGATTTTTGTCTTATTTCTCAGCAAAGTTATCCATCATCTTTCAGTAAATATAACTTAATATAACTTAAAGAAAAATTCTAAAAGTTGCTATTGTAACTAAAATCAGCTGTGATGTTTCCTCTATTATTTGATCATTCTTTGCCCCCAGAATTACCATTTCCCTTTCAACAGAGTCCTTTAGAAAAAAAGTCACACAGTTACATAATATTTTAAATACCTTTAATATCATTAATATCATTAAACAATCTCTTAACTAAAGCCAAAACCAGTACCAAGCTTTCCCTCCATTACACTTTGTGGTAAATGTATATTTTTGTCTCACCAGTTCACCAATTTGCCAATGCTGACCTGACAAACTGAATTTAAGTATAAAGACAAAACAGTGGCATAATCAAGAGAGAATCTGCAAGATGAAAGCTAGCATATGCATTAAAAACAAACAAACAAACAAACAAAAAACCAAAAAAACCCCACACACCCAGAAAATAAAAGAAAGTAAAAGTAGAGAATTTTAGGTTAAATGCATGCTTAGTAGGAGACGCATTTAAGCCCCAGCTCTTTTTCTTTTTCAGAGTGAAATCAACGAGCAGTTGTCACAAGGAGCTTTCCAAGAATGTGCTCATGACAAAAACCTCATTATGTTTCCAACATGTACAGGTATTAATTTAATTATTTTTAAAAAGCATGAAGAGGGTTGCAACGAGTTTAATGCCATAAAGATTCCACTTTAGAGTTACAGGAGATACTGCTTTGAGTCCCCTCGACACGTAACATTCACCTAAAACGGTTTGTCTTCATTTACATGCCACAAACAAGACTTCAGTGTTAACTATCTGAAAATTTTTAAAAAGCGTGTACTATTCCATTAAGATCATTCTGACACATGATAAATCCTTCCATAGGCATCTGACTGTTTTTAGGGACAACTAGATGGATGACTAGTCTGATCTCCTATAGCTTTTCTATTGCCCAGTCAAGCCCATTCAATGATACTTGTGTAGCAACCTTTATGTTTCTAAGCCATCGACCATGTATTCTTTATCTTTCTGCAATTTTAAAGTATTAAAAGTAATTTGTATTCTTGGTCTGCAATATTACAAAAAAACTTCATCTTGTAGAATTAGATATAACAACACCGCTATTTCTGAAAACAACTACTTCTGTATATAAAAACACTGCTTGCTATCTCTTACTGTGACTCACTTAACAGATGTAGCCTGTACACACAAGCAATTGCTGCGAAGCAGCTGACACTATTTGATGCCCTGCAGTAGGGCATGTTCTCCACCAAAGTCAGCTCAAACCATTGGTTACAAAAAGAACACTGGGTTTTAAATACCTGCAGTTTAGCAAAGACACTGTTTTGAATTCAGGTGAATGTGATATACCACAGCTGCAGTAAAATACAGATTTAAGCCAGTTTAACAACAGATAACCAACCATGAAAGCCATAACCCAGAAATCAGGTGAAAGTAATGAGAGTAAATTTTTTAATCCTGAAACAGAATTTTCTCCTGCAACAAGCTTAGACAGAAAGCCACCAGTAACTTATCACTGGGTGTTTTAGGCATTAAAACCATCATGTACTGTACCATGATAGGAGGAAGTATTTCAAAAAAGTATTTATGCAAATCTGTTTTACATCTTATAATTCTAGTGTATTCTCTCCTACTGTGTAATAAAATGCCCAAAGTAAAATCTGAAATATGGTGTTCTTCTCATTGTCATAGAAATACAAATTCAAACAAGAATATAATGTAGATCAGATATAATGTTTTGAAGTATATATTTCTCAGGAAAAATATTAAACATCACTTTCTTCTACCACTTGCATACATGCATATGCTCACACCTGCATGAGTATTCTTTACTTATATAAACAAGAGACAAAGTTCCTTCGTCCATGTTTGCCTATCATCTAAACACCTCTGCAGAGGTTCCTGCTTTGACAGATATAACCTACTCCAATGGCAAAGCTGCAAAATTATATAAAGTTTTTCTGCAGCAAAAATACTCACAATGTATAGAGAAGTGGGTTGAAGGAGGGTCTGAGTCTTTCAAATTCTTCCTGCCCCCCTTCCCAAATTTTACTGAGGAAAAAAAAAATCTTCTTTTCACTGTTCTGGAAGCTCAGATTACTAGCATAGTCACTGTAATAAGAGATTCCTCAGACTAGGGACATTCTAAGAGTGCTGTAGCTACTTGTGCAAAGAGTAGCTCTCAGGGGTTTTTCCAAGCTAAAAATCCATTGACATAAAGAACTCCAGTTTCTTTGAAATCAGTCATTAGTTTTCAGTAAGTTTCGAGATGTAATTGGAATCTCAATTCTACCGATCTATGTCACAACTTGATTGTTTTCATTATTGCATTTGGGTATCATTAGTCCATAATTCATTTTTTCCAGACTTTCAGGAATTTTACAACCAAAACTAAAGTACTATATGGTTTTACTTTCTTCACAGTAAAACTATGCCAAATGCAATAATGTCTTATCCCATCAAAAATATGAAGTTCTGTCACAAGTCTTTAAACAAAAGTAGCAGCATTACTTAACAGACTGATAGTACCTACGGGTCTTTGGCCATATTCATACAGATATGATCTCCAAAGGACAAGCTCACTGCTTTTGGAAATCTATTTTTGCATACAGTTCTGCTGACTAAAATAATGGCCAAAAGCTATTTCTCTCAGTTCAGAAGCTGAGCGAGGGGTTTCATCAGTCCAATTTTAGAAGTAGAAATTTAAGTCCGATTTAGGTAGATTTTACACCATTAAAACATCTTTTGCTCTAGACCTTCATACTGTCAATAGCACAAGTTTTGTCACAAATGAACATGATTTACTATATATTAGTTTTTTATCCTTCTTTTAGTTTGTTTGCCTATCCTTGACTTCATACAGAAACCCTCCTTCTTTTAGCATTTGGTTAACCTCTACTACATGGCACATATATCAAGACAACATTCCACTATTCCTTGGAAACAGAGCATTTCATATTGAAACAGCACACATAAAAGTCACAGCAGCATGTGAAAACTCACGCTTAAAACATACAGCATTTCAGAAAACCTCCTGTTAATGATTTGTTTCTGGTCTTTAATGACTAACAACAGAAGAGTTACTTTGACGCACTTGAACCTCAAGTTCTGTGGGTCTTCCTGAAGACTGTTCTTTGAAAGACTGGTTGTCTGGCATGTGAACAAAGACCCAGCCCTGACCCTGGAAGCAATCCTACTGTTGTGCTTATAATCCCAGGGGCCAGAACCCACTATTCTCTCTCAACATGACAGTACCTAGATACCCATCTGTAGTGACACTGGCCTCCTAAACCATATTGCTCTTGAGGTTTTGTTCATAAGACTCTACAAAATGGTACATCCATATCTTGGACCACTTCCCTGCAGTACCCAGCTTCCCACAAATGCTAGAAAACCTACAAACTTAATTTATTTTTATTTCAGAACAAGGCATAACAAGTACAAGTGTTGTGCTACCTAACGCTTAGGAACTGAAGCCTTTTACAGGTTATTGTGTGAAGCTTATGAGAGGACCCAGAAATACATTTTTTAAAAACAGTATTTAAAAAGTTGTAGAAATACCATGACCCACATTTCAACTAGGAAACAAAGATCTAGATCTACTCAAGGAGAAACTAGCATTTTCTACACCCAGAAACCAAAGATAGGAAGATCAATTGCAACCCTCCTGTTAGTCAGTAACTACTGAAGATAGAGTCCACATAAGCCTTTTGCATTAATATAAATTCAATATGAATAGAAAAAAATATGAAGTACACACAATCATCCATTAACAAGAGAGCAAATTGAAGCTGCACCACAGAAAATTCTGAAAGAAAAAAGCAAAGCCTGATGAAATACTACAAAGATTCTCCAGCAGTCTTATACGTATAGACCACATAAACTTCATTCATTACTTTTATCAGTTTTCTTTACATGGGGACTATAAGTGAAGACCTGGCCTAAAATAGGCAAGTAAAGGGAAGACAATAACTGGCAGAGAGAATTTTTATTTGGAGTTTACTAATCGTGACCTTTCATCTTTTACAAAAGACATCTGATTTTTCTTAAATACCACCTCCTTTGCAATGCTTGTGATACAGTTGTTTTTCTTTCATCTTAAGGATGCTTTCTGAGCCAACTTTTATACGCTACATATCAAAATTACATAGAGGATTGAGACAGCTCTGCATCTCAACCATTAAAGCAGGGCAATGTAGCAGAAAATATAACATTCAGTTGGCAGGAATATTTTCTTTATTTAAATGACAAACAGCTGAGCTGAGCAGAAGCACCTGGAGTTTTCACCCCATGAAAAAAAACCCCAAAAAAATATAATTTGAGGAGGGGGGGAAGGTGGAACTGTCTTCACAGTCAAAAGTACTCTAGCTTATTTTTTCTCCAGTCTTTAGAATCTGTAAAACAGTTTTCTTAACGCCTCCCTCCTCCCCAAAATTACACTAACAGCTCAGAATTATGCATGAATGCATTGCTTCTTTACAGCTTCTGAAACTTTATGATTCAGAAAAACTGTCCAGCAGATAGTCTTCTTTCATATGCAACTAGTTCAAGCCATTTTCCACTCAAAATTTGCTAAGGTTGCGCTGAGCTGTTTCTCCAGCAATCCTATTATCTTTAGACAACACCTTGTGCTGCAGGATTTTTCACTCTGTTGGCCACCATAAGGACTTGCTCCTAGCCTTGTGTGACAAGTTGTGCCCCATGCAGTCTTCCTGCCAGGCCCTAAAAATCTTGTGTATGTAGCCTGTGAAAATGAACCAAAGCAGTCATGCGGTTCAATAAAGAGTTTACCAGTTCATTCAAAACACTACCTCCGTCTGCAGATGTTTAAAAAGACAGAACACAGATGACTCAGACCTCTTCAGCAAGTTTAAGGATTCCTGAGAGCTTCTTCAGTCTGTTTTTATAAACAGATGTTCATTTTTGAGCATTTTGCACTAAAAATAACTTCAGAAGAACTCAAAACCAGCTAGCCTTAATTTGACTATGAGGAAAGAGGGATACAGATTTTCGAGTCTTCAAGCATCAAGTATTCAAAATCTATTGTTTTTAGAGCATAAAGCAAAAACTGAGTATACACTAGAACTCCGTCCCCCTTGGAGATAGATCACTTTGTCAAAACTATGGTGAACATTTCTTTCTTTCGACTGTGATAAAAACCTTCTTCCAAGAAGAAGGAATGAAAGAGGATCTCCCAACATTTTTGATCATCTACACCTTCTCAACATGATGATGTTTCACCAAAAGGGGATACAGAGAATCAGTGCAAAAAAGTAACTTATTTTTGATTCTTTGGTACACTGTTTTCTCCTCCAGTTTTTCCTTTCTACCAACATTTCATGAAGAAGGTTGCAGACCCTTACTTTTAGGATGTGACTTTTCAAAAGATTTTAAATAATTTTACATAATTATATTTTCCTACCTTTATCTCCCTCTTCCTACATCCACACAATTTCTTTTCCCCTCACTCTCTCCTTATAGTGACTCAGCATTTCTGAGGAATTCAGGCCTAATCCCATTAACCAGACATATGACTTGTATTATTCTGGCCACCATAGTGAAGTTCCACAGAAAGGCATCATCTAATTGAATAATATCCACACTTAGGAACTAGATCCATAAGAACAGTAAAAGATATAAAAATGTTATTTTTTCCCTCAGCTGTCCACTGTATCAATATAAGGCCATCATATCTGTCTTTACTTTTTCCCATGCTAAAACAAACAAACAAAAAAACCCAATCCTAAATAGACCTTTACTTAACTATAAAGGTATTTTGGCTATTTATTACCAATGTGGAAGTAATCAAAATCTCACAAGCAAGACTTATTACAATAGACTATTTATTTTAATTGTGGGAAAGGATAAAAGCAAGTACTAAAAAAATTCTTCCCCTAAATCAAAACCCTTGTGTATCTTTCACAATCAATTGCATTCTATTTTGTTTATCGATTGTTTGGATTGTTTTTGTTTTACACCTTTGACAGACTTTATCCTGTCCCAAATTATTATTCCACAGGGAAGGTTATAGTAAACAGAATAAAATAACTAAAGCAGAACAAATATTTATTATTATATTATTGGTAAAATAGATGAAAGGGCAAAGAAATTGCTTCATGCAAGGAAAGACACAAGATGCAAGTTCAGGGTGAAGGTGTCGGGTGATGATCTGGAAGCAAGACATGCAAAAATCCATCCAGACAGTGAACACAATCAACCTTTTCCTTCTACTAAATGGATCAAAACAACAGAAATTTCATTCCAGAAGAATGAAGTCAACATAGTGTCACTCTCCATAAAGGCCAAAGATTAAAGAACCTTTCTGTGGGGAAAAACTGCAGTGTTAGCATTCCCTGTGCTTAAAAGGGACACAGTGAGTAAGTAGAAAGAAGATCCACTTTACACAATACTCAGCAGCAAGCATGCCCAAGGAAATCAATACCCATTCTGTCAGCAACGATTTCTGCAGAGCTTTACCCCAACAGGTAGATACAAGGTAGGGCATAGGAAGGATAGGCAGTGGCAGCAACATTCTTATGGGCAGTGCTGGGTAAGCAAAGAGATTGGTAGATATTCTCCTCTATGGCTTCCCAACACAAACACACATCTAGAAACATGGAGGAAGAATTATTCCCAAAGGCAGGTCTGCAAGCACTTGTAAATTCCTTTCTTCCCACACCCCTCTCCAAAGAGAGGAATAGCAAGTCCCTAGTGTTTTAAGTGTATTTTAAAAAGTGGTCTCACTTTAAAGGGGTATTAGTTCTGAATGTAGTATTCTTTCAGTAGCTCATTTCCAACAATCAAACAGCTTTTCTGTGCCATCCATAACATGTTGGTGTTTTTAGATGCGTCCAAAGGCACCAACTGGTATTCATGTAATAATAAGCTAGGAAGAAATCCCTCTTCCTTTTAAAACCTCAAAAATATACAACTATCTCATCTCTTTTTTTCAAAGATCATTCAGAGCCTCCATATTAATTCCACATCTGAAATGGCACATAATCAGTATCAACAAAAGCATATATAATGTATATTAAATTCACTGTCTAAAATTTCAAGAGAAATGCAATTCAATAGGTAGGAACTCCATTAAAGCTAAGTCCTTCAGTAATATCATGCACACTGTTCTGCTTTGTTGTCCCTTGCCTCTACTCTCTAATCTCTTCCTATTCAAACCATCTTTACCTTCACTTTACCTTTTATCCTGCAGGAAGGAATTAATTTTTTAAATAAAAATTTATAAAAATAGGATGGAATTATTCTAAAGGGTACATCCTGAGTCATATAGTTTAGATACATTCACTTTGTTACCAAGTTATTCCACAAAGCCAAGGTTTGTTCAATTTCATACAATTTCAGAAAAAAAAAAAATAATCCAACCAACAACTTACTATCTGCATTTGTACAAAACAGAATATTAGATCTTGTCCTTAAAAATGAAGAATGTGGGTATTACTTGACAAAAAAATGTTTAACACTTTACAGTGGTCTTCAGTGGTCATACACTGGCAGGAAACCAACACTGCATTTATTAGGTAGTGCATGATACACTCCAAGCTAAGTAACTCATGCTGCAAGTTCAGGATTCTAAAGAAGCTCCCTATGCAGGCATTTCTGCGGTCTAGAGCTATTTGGGAAGAAGCATTTTGTTGATGATGGTATACCAGAAGTGAAAACACCAGAATCTATGCTGATCATACCAGTCAAATTTGCGTAATTCCCATTTGTTTTATCTACAGTTCAGCTTCTGAACCATCCTGAAATTGAAAATAATTATTTTTACGTTAACACCAGGGAAATTACACTCTTGTTTAATTACATATACTCCTTTAATTCCTAAAAATGTTGGTAAGGACCACCACTAAGTCTCGAAGATCTACAGATTTAAAGACACACCGTTCCACATCACATATCACTGTTTTGAAAATTCTGCAGATGAGCCTCTTTTTACTCTACCTTGTCATGTTTCTGCTGGTGCCTTGCCCTAGTATCGAGGATATGGTAAGGGGTCTCAGAGTCTCTGTTGATGTAATAGATTAGTCTTGAAGGCAGTGTGATTTCTTTCTGTATTGCATTGCTGTAGCTGTTATTTTTACTGGTACTGCTATTACTCTGTTGAAATGTATCCTCTTCATCTGCCAGTTCTCCCTCTATACTGCTTGCTGTTTCATTCCAATGCAGGCCTGGGAAAGAAAGATATGCCAGCCATAAATTAGATGGCAGAATGTGTTTATTTCCATTAAAAAGCTACATATTTGCTTGAAGTTTTCTAACATTTTACTAATCACTCAAGCAAACAAAAAGATAGCTTACTGATTGAGCTAGACCCAATTCATTTTTCACACATAAAATGGTTTCAGAAAGAACATTATTTATTTAATTGCATATATATTCTCATGTGCATACACAGATTATAAATATTTCAATGCCTCTCAACCTCCAAAAAAACATTAATTGATATGTAGTTAACCTCTACACCCTTTTTGATAGCTAATTTCTCTCACCAAAAAAAAATTCTACAGAAAGCTAAGAATATTCCCCGTGTTTCTAAGACAAACTGAATTCAGAATCCATGTGCACTGAATACTAAACTTCCTATTATGTAAAGGGAATTGATTTCTACTTCTTTTAACTTTGACAAGAGCCCTTTTCTTTAGTAGCAGCTCTTCAAATGAACTCCTGTATCCCTCCTCATTAAATTTTCAAGATACAGTCAATCAACACAATGTAACAACATAAAAAATATTACAATGTAACAGCAGGGTAATAACAATAATAATACGATGCCCAGAACGGCTACATTCACTTTCCACACGTCACCTACATGCAACCAAGAGGAAATAAACAACAAAGCAACACACGAAAATCCGAGCCCGAAGTGACAAATTAGCAGATCCCCGTCTACACGCGCCGTGACACACACAAAGCCCACCCAAGCTTTTTGTGTCGCATCCCTCAGCGGCGGCTGTCCACGCACAGCATCCCTGCCCAACACACTGCAGCACCGGCACCGCACGGACCTCTCTTTTGTGCAAGCAAGCAAACCAAGGGAATATCAGCCGAAAGCACGGGTTTACACACGCCGACAGACACGTACACAAAGCTGGAAGCGGGGAGGGATGAAGGGATGGTTGAGGGTAAATGGATGTTGCCGGGGTTTAAGGCGGGGGACGGGGCCCGCAGACACCTCACGCACAGACCCGCACAGACACCCTTGCCATACCCACCGGCGGCCGCCGCAGCCGCCCGGGCCCGGGGGCAGGAGGAGCCATGGAGGAGCAGAAGCAGCGAGACGAGGCGGCCGAGGAGCGGCAGGAGCGCGGGGCGGCGGCGGCCGCCGCAGCCAGGCTGCCGCAGGGAGATGCTGCCGGGCGGCTTCATGGCTCATAGCGCCCCGGGGCGGGGGGGCAGCGCGGCACAGCCCTCACGGCCGGCGGGCTGTGCCCGAGGGGTGCGGGCGGAGCGGGACGAGGCGGGCGGGTCCCCGTGGCGGGTCCCCGTGGCGGCACCGCCCGTCCGGCTCCTGCCGCTGCCGCCGCCGTGAGGGACAGCGCCGGCACCTCAGCGCGGGGGCGGCGGCGCGCGCGCACCTCCCGCGCCCGCCTCCGGCCCCGCGGCCCCGCGCACGCGCGCTCGGGGCCGGGAGGGGTCGCGCGGACGCCGCTGTCCGACGTGCTGCCGGCGGGACCGACGGGACCGCGCACCGGGATGGGATGGGATGGGGTGGGGTGAGGTGGGGCAGCGCGGGCAGCCGGCCGGTGCCGCCCTCCTGCGGGGTGACCGCCGCCAGCTGCGCGCACAAACCGCTCCGGGCCGCAGGGTCCCGCGGGTGCGCCCCGACAGTCTGAACCGGAACCCGAGAACGGGTCCGTGACTCCCCCCGCGGTGCCACTCGGGCAGCCGTCCCCGCGGCGTGCACAGCTGCGAACAGCCCGGCTTGGGAATTATTTTAAAGAGCTTTCGCGCAGAGTGAAATTACTTTGAAATCCGGCAGCCCTGAGGAAAGTTGGGAAGAGGCTCTGGAGACGTGAAACAGCGGTGGGGTCAGCGTGTTCTTCCGAGAGCAGGGGCAGGCGGGTCTCCTCGCCCCGGGCGGCTCTGCAAGTGAGCCATTTCACAGCTGGCAGTCCCCAGCTGCTGCAGAGGGAGGCAAGGGACCCCTCCCAGGAACAGCTCCTGCTCCAAGTGTTTTGTGGAGCTCCAAGCTCCCCTCCGCTCCCTCCCAACGCCTCCCGCTCACAGCTCTGTTAGCTTGCATCCCACCTTCTTCACTTCTTCAGTCCCTGTGAAGTCCCCTTCATCCTTACTGACTGCAGCCAACCTGCAATGAAGGGGGTGTGGAGGCGAGAACCAAATGTTACCAAAAAAAAAAGTGCATATATTGACAAAGAAAATGGACGAGTGTACAATAAACAAAGAGGAGGACTGCAGTGAGGTGCATAGTCAGCATAGTGACCTGGTGTAAATCCGCTCTGGCCTGCTGTGTTCAGCAGCAGACAGCCTGGACCACAAACAGGATTAGTGCATTTCTGTGCAGTGAATAGTATCTCTCATACTTCAGTCCCACATGCCTGGGGTGAACCAGCAATATGAAGAATAGTTGCAAAGATAAAAATAACTTCAAAGAGATACAAGAAGATGAATCTGCTGCTTTGTATTCATTCCATGACTAAAGGAATCAGAAAACCTGAGTTCAGAGACAAGTTTAGATATGGTGTTCTTAGCAAACGTTTTGCCCAGCAGACTTTTAATATCCAGGAATAGATATGTTTTATTTTGGTGCAAGTCTTGCTGCTGAGAAAATAAAGATGTTCCTTTTTTTTTTTTCTTCTTCTTTTTTTTTTTTTTTCTGGATATTGCTTTGTATTTGTCAGTTTACTCCTTCTAATCTGAGTCTATACCACAAGGATTTCCAGAAAGATAGAAATTTTCTCTGTTTTGTGTAATTTTCTCTACATTCCAGCCTGAATTAATTATAATTGTTAATTTAGAAAATATAAGCAAATCAAACCTACTATGCAGACTACTTCAAGGCAGTAATGTTATTACATTTTTAAAAAAAATAATTCCAAATTCTCATGTTGGGCAAATAGGTGCTCCTTGTGGAAATTCAAAATCTAGGTGTGTAACAGCAAACAAACACATAGGAGGGACAGACCCATGGGGTGGTCAGGTGTGAAAAAGAACAGCAAATGCCCCTTAGGATTTCTCTGGGTCTAGGAAGAAATCTGTACCAGTTTCTATATAAAATGGGCTTCCTTAAGACTCATGTTCCCAGACACTTTCCATGCAGCCCACCCAGCCCAGCTGTTCCTCATCATTACATATCACTGGAACATTTCAACCAACAGCAGCTCCTGTTCTTTCCCATAAACATATAAACAGATGACAGGATCAGTTACATTGGTGCACCTAGATCTAAAATAAATAAATAAACACAATTGAAAAATATTTTAGAGCAAAGAACAAAAGATTAAAATGATTATGCAGTTAAGAAAGAAATCCAGAAACTTTCACTACACGTGGGGGAAAAAAAAAAAAACACAAACAAAAACAACAACAACAACAACAAAAAACAGTCTAGCAACAATGACTGCTAGAAACACCTGTTCTCTGAAAAAATCAGTTCTTAATTTTGGTGGCCAGATTTTGAGGGGAGGAAATGATGATTGCCTCTTTCTACCAAGGTTGTCTAGGGTAAAGATGTTCTAAAGTTCTTTTAACTCACATACAAGTCTGCAGCAGAAGTAATCACCTGAATAACCATATAAAGCAGACATGCCTACTGTCTCAGGCCCTGGGCATGTAGCTCAAACTGTGCCTCATAAACCTGCTACAAACCTTCAGATGGTCATATACAGTTCACAGAGCATAATCAGCTCAAGATGAAGTACCCCACTAGGAATGACAGCTGCTTTTTGTGTTGTTTTTTTTCTTTAAACTTTCTTTCAACTTTGAAAGCCACTATGAACTAATCCCAGATAGATTGCACTGCAGATGTCTGAAACCAAAACACCAGAAGCGTGGATTATCACAGCAGCATCTGTACCAAGTGCAAGAAATTGAAATGTCCAAGTCAGAGGTACATAGGAAACAGCTGACAGCTGGAGCTTCAAGACTGGCTGGGGAACAAAGACATTCAATGCAAGGTATACGCTTACTTTAAATCAGGGTGATAAACACACTTTACATCCCTTCTTCAGATGATTGCCCAGAACTTTTCAGTTTCTTCTTCGTTTATCCAGATGCAGGTCAGTGAGCAGATGGGATGAAATTTTATAATGTTACATTTCAAATAAAAAAGGCTTCAGATGCAAAACTGCTAATCACAGTCCTGGCTGTTCATAATTGACAGTCAGCTGGGAGATGTTAGTTTGGACTCTGTTAACCCAGTCTTTAAGATACAACCTTCCAACACAAACAAATGTCTTTTCTGATATCATCTGAAAAAAAGTCAGCATATCACTTGACCTGGGAAAATCTCTATGTAAAATATGTTTTTAAAGAACTTGTTCCTTACCAAGGTATAAACAATACTGATTTTGCTGAGTGAACACAGTAAGACTGTGTCTTACTAGGAAATAAAGAAAATATCTGGATCTCAACATTAGTCTCTTATCTAACATTTATTTCAAGAATCCATCTAACAAGTAGGTGGGATATTCCTAGACGTTCCTCACAGAGAAAAATTGGTTTTGATTTTAACAGTAAGAGGAATACTTATGTTGCAGATGGAATATGAAGAAGTCAAGTTCAGGAGATGCAAATCTGGATAACTAATTTATAAAAAAGTCTTTGGAAGGATGCCATAAGAACACTGGCTATCAAGTTTACAATAATGATGATCATCACAGAAGAGTAAAGCCCTAGCATAGTCGGTCACCTTGGTAATAACAGGTGACACCAACTGAGCAAGTCCAGACTGACCTCGGGCAATGAAGAGTACAAATGCCATGGGGAGCAGGGAGCACAAACAGCACAGCAGAAGCAGCCATCGCTGAACTCTGCTCTCAAGGAAGGGCAGTAGTCGAGTCTGATTATGATTTAGTCATATTACTGTAGCACTAGCAGGCTCAGCCGTAGGCCAGTGACCTGCTGTGCTCTGTGCTGTACAGATACAGGACAAAATGACACATCCCTGTTAAGAGAAATTTCCTTTTTATTTGCAATAGCAAATAACTCAGACAGTGCTGTAGATAACAGAAGAAATCTAACAGCTGTAAGAGGGGCACCAAGCACACTGCAAGTCTAAAAAGCGGTAATTACACAGGGGACATTTAACAATAGACCCTCATTAGCTGGCACATAACTAATCCACACAACCTGTAATCTGCATGAAAAGAACGTGGTAGCCATTCTCTGTTTCTCCACAGGGGGTTAACAGCTAAGACATAGCTGAACTGGAACTCCATGCCACCCATATTTCCTTACTTTATATCACATGCAGTGTAAGTATGGATAATTTATACTTAGAAGAAAACCTGCTAATTGCAACGAACAATGCATTGCATTAGTATAACTTCTTTTCTTAATCATATATGTTTGAATACTTACCGATTCTCAATGTTCAGCTATTCTCAAAGAGTTCCTCAGTCAGTAGAGTGAAAGAGAATTTTGCTATATGAAGGGCTGTAGAATATTTTTTTTAATTATATGACCATCTCTTGTTACCCATCCCACCACCTAACAGTGCAGCAGCAAACCAGTAGTTAGCCAGAAAAATAAGTACTTTTCATTTATTCTGTTTCTTTTAGCTTTAAATACTTTTTAGCAACTGAGGGGGTGTATGGGGGGAAGCAGTAAGTGATACAGTAACGTGACAAATACATAAGACAGATTCAGGAAACAGCATAGAATCTAGATTCTTCAGAAGCAAGCATCCCTTTCCAAACTGTAGATCTAATAGAACTGGGTTTCCAGTAGTCTTCATTTTTCACCTTCTTTATTTCAACCTAATACACTTTAGGAGGAAGAGCTTTCTCCTGTTACTTACTTAGTTCAACAGAGCTCTGAACCCAGTTTTCTCCTTCATGTACAATAGTGGAACTATGTACAATATTGGGCATAACACTATTTTAAACATAGTAATACTATAAAATAAAATACAGTAAAAATGCCCGTTTTCTTTCAGAACCATCACTCATTTACCAAGATCTGCATGCACATCATCATTAATAACTCTGTTCACCAGAGATACTGCCCAAGTGAACTCTTTTGCAAGTACTCTATGTTCCACTTCAGGGTAGAATATAATAGTAATTAGGATACATTTGCCAGCCCTCTCCCCTCAACACAGTGAAATGTTAAGGTTGAGGTCAAGTGAAGAAAGTAAGATTATAAAAAGAATGTATCTTACCAGTGTTCAGCAGGAAAGGAAAGGAAACACAGCTGGGCTGTTAATAGCAAATGGGTCAGAGGGTTCATTAATTGCAGTTCAAGTTGTATCCAGGCGAAACTCGACAT